TGAGGGGTATTTAGTACGTTCACAATCAAACTATCAGCACTATCTAGTTCCGGAATATTTTTGTCATTCCATAAGGAGACTCCATACCCATAAGCAGTCACTCTTTTTCCCATTTCGGTAAAATCATGAACAATTTCTTTAAGCCATTTTATCATCTTATCCATCATAAAAGGTCAGACTGACACTCCAGAAAAAAAAATCTTCCAAGAAATCCAGTGGAAATAACTATATTGTCATATATATTTGAAGACTGATTAAAAACATGTTTTTATTCTAGCTAAATTTTAGCCCTATTGTTAGGAGTAAGTCAATTTTTTAAAAGCATAAATCGCATGTACCCCCCCTTAGAAGGATTTTAATTACAAAGAAATCTAAGAGACTATAGCTTAGAAGTGATCATAGGAACAGAGTTGTCAATCAAAACAAGTATCGATGTCCAAGCAATGTTGAAAATTCAGGAACACAGAACAAGACCCACTATCATGAGATAAGCCAAAATGTCATATACAAGAATATAGAGAAAAAGGGAGTTGAGGAAGAGATCTTAAGAAATAGGCTGCATACATAATTCAAAACAAAATTAAAAGAAAAAGGCTATAGGCATGCTGTAAATCTCCACCTCAAATGGACAGCATTTCTTAAGCTGTGGGTAGTGACTATGGGGAACAGGACTGATTTTGTGGTCTCCACCTACATTAAACATGAAACAGAAAACATCTTCCATATTATTATACAAGGAACTACACATCTAATATTGTTTCTACCCCAAACTCAACTAAACCATAGTAAAGGAATCTGAACACACACACATACACATCAGGAAAATAGGCACCAACAAAATTTTCAAAGCTGGAAACATGTGGACAAGTGGCAAATAAGTAGACCCAGGAAAGCAGAGTCTGGACCAACAGTGGGAGGAGCTGAGAAACCGTGAGGTACATAGTAGATTCCCCCAAAAATTTAGGCACCAACACTACCAGATACCTCAGGCTTTAAGGAGAAGGGTGATGGGGAGTTGAATTAAGGAGGATGGGGTAAAAAGTGTTCAAAATACAATTCCTGCCCCCACCCCACCCTGAAGTCCTAACTCCAGAGAAGTTGGGATGTTACTCTGGAGAGTAAAACAGAGGATGTCTAAACTGGGGGATAGCACATATAATTGGGCTTAATTACAACCAGAAACAGATATTAAGTGACTATACGAATTCCTCCTTCCCACTCAATTCCTAGGTGATGACATCAGACCTCTACCCTTCAGTCAGGAGAGTGAGCAATTCTCTAGAGGATCAGACCAACCAAAAGCAAAGAGCTTAAAACGGTGATCTCAGGGGTTCTCCAATGAACAGCCTACCCTTGATACCCTATAGTAAAAGAGCCTCCAAGTTGACAAGCCCCACCCACTTGTGCAGAGCTTCCAGTCAGCATCTTCATCCTTCCTCTCTTATTCATGAATACTAAGGATTTCTGGGTATGTGAGGAAAGCCTTTAATGTGAACAAATAGATCCAAATAAATGGATTAGAGCAACTTGGAAGAAATAGTGGATTCTGTGGATTCTTCAAAAACTTAATTTTCTGAGAGACAATATTCCACTCAAAACAAAAAGTGTTATTAAAAAGGAACATTTAGAAAACAAAACAAAGCTCTTGGAAATTAAAAAATATGATTAACAGGGGGAAAAAACCAATAGGACTATAAGATATAGTTGAAGAAGCCTCCCCCAAAGTGGAACAAAATAACAGATGGAAAAATAGGAGAGAAAAGAGAGGAGGTCCATCATCTGAATAGTAGGAGTTACAGAAAATGAAAGCAGGAAAAAACAGTGGGGAAGCAATTTTCAATGAAGTCATTACATTTTCCAGGAATGAATAATACTAAGATTTTGATCAGAAGGGTTCAGAGTGCCAAGCACACAGGATGAAAACAGACAATCACCAAGATGTATCATCACGGACCACTGCGGGAAAACTACAGTTCTAAGAGCTTCAGGAGAGAAAAAAACTGATCGTGTAAGTATGGCCGCTAGAAGACCACAGAGCAATGCCTTTGAAATTCCAAATGAAAATGACATCCAAATGCATGCTGTTAACTGTCAATGATGAGAGAAAAGGCATTTTCAGACACTTATGATCTTAAACATTTGACCTCTCACACACATTTATTTAGAGAACCTACTCAAGGAAGCATGCCACCAAAAAGAGGGAACAAATGAAACATGGGAACATGCAGGACAAAACCAGGAAATCCAAGGTAAGAGGCAAAGGGAGTCACTAGGATGGCAATTGTGCAGCAAGTGGAAGAAAACACATCAGAGTGGAGCAGGGCAAGGGCTCCATAGCTGTGCTGACCTTCCCCTCAAAGTGAATGATAGGAACAGGGAAAATCAATGGAACCATCACTTTTATTGATGATGTTAACAAGAACGACAAGTGGATGGCAGAGACCATAAAGGTATACATTCCTAACATGAATGACTTAAACAGAAGTTTTAGAACTCTCTTTTTCAATCAGTTATCTTAGCAAGAGCATTTTTTTTTCCTGAAACTGAAAAGCAGAAATAAAAAACCTGCCTAAATTAAGAGGAATTCTGTATAGTCTTATGTACCTATATATGCAGATACACAGGAAGTTGCTCACAGCAGTGGCCTATAGGAGTGGTGGACCTCTGGGAAAGTGGAGACTTTGCCATTCACCTTTTCATTCTTTTGACTTGTGTACCACAAAAAATAATTGTTCAAATGTGAATATATTCCCTAATTTAAAAAGATGGAGTGAAAAAAACTGATCGTGTATGGCAAGCAGTTTTATAAAACTTGCCTGTTATTAGTGTTTTTGTTTTTTTTTTAGAATAATATTCTTCAAGATTTAAAAAATGATGTAATAGTGTTATATATAATACTCTAATATATTGATGTGTGATGCTGAGGGTTTGTCCTTTTAGCTATCCCACAGGATGGATGTAAGCAGTGTCACATTCACTCTATATTACATATATATTATATATATTCACTCTGTATATTATATATACACTATATAATAGTGTATATATAGTTTTATATAGTAAGTATATAAAACTGTATTTAACATATAGTATTTATATTAATACTGTATTTAATATATAAATTATATATTAAACTATTTAATATATAGTAACTAATATGTTCAGTACAGATTTATATGAGAGAGAGAGAAAGAGTGAGCACAAGCAGGGAGAGGGGCAGTGGGAGAAGCAGACTCCCCACTGAGTAGGGAGCCCAATGCGGGACTCCATCTCAGGACCTTGGGATCATGACCTGAGCTGAAGGTAGACGCTGAACTGACTGAGCCAGTTGGGTGCCCCAGTATTCAGTATTAATAAATGTGCTTAATGGGTGGTGATGGAAACTTTGTTATTGCAGGTTACAAAGAAGTCTGAAAGTGCTAAACCAAGTATCTTTGTAACTACAAAAACCCTTTCCTACAATTCTTACTGAACATCCACTGGGTTCTCGTTATGATCAGATCTAAGATGTTTGTGCACCAGTGGGTTGCATGTGTATATGGAATCAGAAAACACTCATCTTTGTGTTAGTATTCCAGGTGCAGTGTCCATTTTTGTCTACTCTAAGCCTTCCTCTACCACCAAGTTTTTCTCCAAGGAAGGGTGCAAATGGAATGCAATATTGCATTACTGCATGTACCAAATGCAAACTGGAAGAACAAGGAAACAATCCACACCCCCCACCCCATAACTTTTGCTGAAGAACTGCTCACTTGACATCCTAGGAACTATCTTGCTAAGATCTGTCATTATGATCTAGAAGCAATGAACCTTCTCCGGTTAGAGTGAATGTGACACTGCCTACATCCATCCTGTGGGATAGCTAAAAGGACAAACCCTCAGCATCACACATCAATATATCAGAGAAACCACACACATAATTATTTTTCTGCCTAGATCCTCCAATTTAATAATTTTTAAATAGCTAAAATATAATCAAGGTCACATGGGTACCATACCTGGAACTATACACAAACATACCCTGTTCACAAATGTTTAGCTTCATAGCAACAACACCCTGGGACAGTCAAGGACACAATCACAGTTGTAAAAATTAAGAGTGAAAAGTAAACACAACAGGACATTTGCACAAAAGCAGAGAATCCTGTTCTTGGCAATAGGCAGGAAATGACTGGCTAAAGAAATAAGGATAGGCATACTCTAGAATCTAAGTATCATAATCATAGGATATTTAAAGGAGTCATAGCTATATATATTCTAACAGTCTAATATTTTACATTAGTAGCTTCTTATACAAAAGTTAAAAAAAAAAAAACCTGCCAAAAACCAACCCAAATCGTTATTTTTTTCCTTAACCATTTTATTCCAAGTTGGTGAAGACATGAGAATGTCTAGCTTAATGGCCTAGAAAAAGTTTTCTAGTTGCAAGATGCCTTAGTCATTAATTAATAAACTCAAAGTGAACACTGAATTGGATACAGAAATTGTGAAATAGGATATATTTCCTAAAATTTGAAAGACAGGGGACGTAACACCAAGAGCCACTTAAGTTATAGTAAAATGGCACCCTGAAATTATTTCATAGCAAAACATAATTTTCTATTAGCTTTCATATGGGTGAAACTATTCAGTCAGTAGAGAATTTATGGGAGAGCTACATGGTTAGGCTGCACCTCTGAGGTATCCACAGAAGGAAAATGACTTTTGGTGCCATGTGGCTTGTACTTATCCCCAGCCAGGCAGTCTAGTCCCCTGAGCCCAACTGTACACCTGGGAAAAGACTGTAAAAATACTTCCGTAAGAGGTAAAGACTAATAAGAACCTACAAGTGCACTCTGGAAAGATGTGAAACTGTCATGGAAAAGGAGCACCACATGTTGATTTTAATGGCTTTTTTTACTGGAGAAATCTATTTGTCATGTATATACCATAGGAAAATGCCCCCCTGCCCCCAAAAAAAGGTCATGCAGAAAAACTGGATTCATAAAAGAACATATATATTCAAAGTAGGCAAAAATATGGTATATATCTTTTAAAAAAGAAAATATGCAATATAATTTCACTATGGAATGCCTTGATTGGCATGTGACTTAGCACTTATTTCCTATTAATCAGATCCAATTGTTCTGATAAATCTCTATTATATATCTGTTTTAGAATATTTTAAAAAAATATCTATTTTTAAGACAGAACATAAAACCTGTATTTGTGCCTCCATGTATAAGCTATCTTGCCTGGTATCTTCATGGATCCAAGATGCTAAAAGATTAATAATTTTTTAAAAACCTCAAGTCACAGATTAACAAATAATATATTTCCTCAAATTTTCTGGATTATACTACTAAAAGTAACTTCTATTAATTAATGTACTCTGGATTTCCAGATATAAATACCAGTCAGTGGTTGATTGGCTATTAAATTGTAAGTAAAATTATTCTCAGAACTGGGTCTTAGTATATGGAATGCCTTAACTTTTCTTAGTTCAAAACCTGTAATTTGACCCTAAAAATACATAATCATGCCCTTTTCTGTGCCTTAAGCTGACATACTGACTGTACAATCTATACTCTGTAAGAGAGCAGGTAACTCTAGCACAGAAGAAACTATATAATGTGGCATGGGGGATGACTTCAGTGGCATTATTCCATTTTTATTTATCCAGACTGTTGCTTTCAGCCCTGCATTGAGGCCTCCTTGTATATCTGTTTCTAGTGTGTCACCAACCATCACACAGTCCCCAGGCTGTACTCCGAGGAGATCACAGCCGTGATAAAATATGGAAGGTGCTGGTTTCTCTTCTTTCTGCTCTCCGCCTACAATGATAGCGTCAAAATAGGACTGGCAGGCACAAGCCTCGATCTTCTCCCTCTGGGTCTGTCGGTCTCCATTTGTTAATAAAAGTAGGCGGACCTCCTTCCGAAGTTCAGTGAGCATGGCTTTGACATCTTCTGCTAGTATCATATGCTGTAAACGTGTAGATTTCCACAGGAAATAACATTCTTCAGCCAATTCCCTATTGGCTGCACCACCCTTCGTCTCCTGGATTGCTTCTTCCCAGTGTAAAGTCCTTACGTCAGTAATACATGTACTAGAAGGATGAAAACATTCCTTGCTGAGTTTAACTTGAACTTTGTCACAAATGGTTTCAGCCTCTTCTTTGTAATGGTATTTTGATTGTAAGAGCTTTATCACCTAAATAAAGGAAAACAACTCCATTAACACACTTCAGGTCTTTTATAGTCATGCCCTGAGAAGCCAAGCCATGTTCCTATAATCCCAGAGTAGAGATTCCAACTCCATGTGCCTGCCTTACGGCAGCTGCTACCACACCATTTCTGGTGGGAATTGGTCTCATTTTCAAAGAATATCAGAGGGAAGATCTCCCAATCTCTCTACACAACTCATTCATATTTTTGACTGATTTCTATTCTAAGAAGTATCTTCAGATATAGGTCATAAAAACCCTTCATTTGGCAGCTTACCACCTTCCATTCTGGTTATGAAGAAATAGAAATAAAACCTAGGTTTAAATTTAGTAAAACATTTTAAATTCCTCACAACCATTATATAGACTCTTCCCGAAAATAATGCTGGTTCATCCAACCTTTTCTTATCTACATCCATTTTACGTTTTGAAGGCCTAAACTGACCACCATATAAAATGGGACCTAATTCTGTACTTTTAAAAACATGTATTCAGTTCTAACAGAATCAAGCATGTTGGGGCGCCTGGGTGGCCCAGTCATTAAGCGTCTGCCTTCGGCTCAGGTCATGATCCCAGGGTCCTGGGATCGAGCCCCGCACCGGGCTCCCTGCTCCACGGGAAGCCTGCTTCTCCTTCTCCCACTCCCCCTGCTTTTGTTCCCTCTCTTGCTGTGTCTCTCTGTCAAATAAATAAATAAAATCTTTAAAAAAAAAAATCAAGCATGTTCCATGATTTCAGCAGTTTAATGACCCAGGGCTTTTTCCAAACCTAGTTTTCCGGATAAAAAACTTCAAGGAGTTCTCAGTCACCCTCTGTTACATTGGTTCTGACTCCCTTGTCAGAATTACACGCTCCCTCTCGTGTTCCCCCGACTTTTTATCTTGGCTTTTATTATATTAGGTTCTTTTCCATTTGGCCTCTTTTAACATTTACAGAGACCCTAATGTGGCAAGCATTGTGCCTAATGCTCACATATATTATTTCTAACCTTTTCCACAATTCTGCGAGGGACTCCCCTTTTTGAGATGAGGAAATGGAAATTCAGAACTATTAAGTAACTTGCCCAAGCTGGGATTTAAATCCACACTTGCCTACTTCCAAAGCACATGTGCTTGCCTTTACACTATTGTATTAGGCAGTGGAGACTGGGTTTGTTGCCCTCATGACATTATCTGGTGGGGAAAATAAGCAGGTATGCAACCAACATAAATGCTGAGTTGAGTGCTATGACAGTCATGTAAACAACGGTGGAAATAAAATATAAGAAGCAAGTCATTCCACAGGGTTATTGGATAAGATTTGGCAGAGAAAGTACCTTTTTTTCTAATTTTTTTTTAAAGATTTTATTTATTTATTTGACAGAGACAGCGAGAGAGGGAACACAGCAGGGGGAGTGGGAGAGGGAGAAGCAGCTTTCCATTGAGCAGGGAGCCCAATGTGGGGCTTGATCCCAGGACCCTGGGATCATGACCTGAGCTGAAGGTGGATGCTTAAGGACTGAGCCACCCAGGCACCCTGAGAAAGTAACATTTAAACCAAGGTATTACCAAGCCTAGAAGGTGGGCCTGGGAGGAGAATGAAATCATTCTAGACAAAAGGAATAGCAAGAACAAAGATACAGAGCTTAGAATTTTGAGAACTGGGAAAGGTGAGAAGCTGATTTCAAGCTGAAATGGAAGGCATATGAGGGAGGATCCTAAAAGATGAGGCTGAAGAGCATGTTTGCAACTGGTTAGTAAAGGGCCTTCAATCCCAGGCTGCTATAGATGCTACCTAAGTCCCCTTGGCACACAGTTTCCATACATGCCAATGGCTTCATACTGTTAAGTGATACTGTAATGCCAATTGGGCTTCATACTGTAAGTTACTAAGGGCTTTATTTGACCATGGGCGTACCCATGCACACAAGCTGGGGCTGAAGTGTTGCCCTGGAAGTGGGCCTCAACCAATGAGGGGCACAAATTGGTAGATTAATATCCCAACTTTCTTGTCCCTTGGGAGGGACAACTGAAGCATGCTCTGCATGCTGTCTCCCAGAGTTCCCCAACTGTTCACACCAGTAACCTGCTCATTTATTAGATTCCCTCCCTTTCTTGTATGATTCCACCATTCTTCTACAGCACTTGCAAGGATCACCTCCCAAATGGACTACCTGCATTTGAAGTCCCTATCTTAGGGACATCTGGGGAAAGTTGACAATGCCAAGACAACTTTGGATCTTTGGATAATGAGTGCAATGCACGTAGCTGGGACTAAAAACTGTCTGCTGTTGAAGCAAGGAGGTCAAACAAGTTAAAATGTGTTGCCCTAAACTATACAGGGAAAAAGTAGTATGCTACTCACACCAGACACTCAATTCACCTACTGAAAAGGGGAAAGAGATTAATAGACACATTTTTCTTCCTTTAAAGTATAAGAATCACATTGGGGCGCCTGGGTGGCTCAGTGGTTAAGCGTCTGCCTTCGGCTCAGGTCATGGGATCCAGTCCCGCATGGGCTCCCTGCTCGGCAGGAAGCCTGCTTCTCCCTCTTCCCATTCCCCCTGCTTGCATTCCCTCTCTCACTGTGTCTCTCTCTGTCAAATAAATAAAACCTTAAAAAAAAAATCACATCAAAAGTAAATATTGTTCAGGCTCTTTGTGCTCTTCAAAAAAATGCAACAGTTAAGAAGTCTTATTTCTTCAAGAAAAATACACCATTCCTAAGAATTTTAGGGGAAGGCAAAGTTAAATTTCAATTAACAAACCGAGCTTTTACAAGCCTCCATGCCAATGTCACCATCTTTTCTAACAATGTCAGTTGAATTACTCTTGAGCTGGGGCGCCTGGGTGGCTCAGTCGTTGGGTGTCTGCCTTCGGCTCAGGTCATGATCCCAGGGTCCTGGGATTGAGCCCCACATCAGGCTCCCTGCTCAGCAGAAGCCTGCTTCTCCCTCTCCCACTCCCCCTGCTTGTGTTCCCTCTCTCGCTGTGTCTCTGTCAAATAAATAAATAAAATCTTAAAAAAAAAAAATTACTCTTGAGCTATGATGGAAGGTTACCCTAAAGTTTTAGCAAACCTATTGCTACGCAGTAAAAGAACACAGGCCTCTAGAAATCCACAGTGCTTAAGCTTAAATAGGAGCTGGCTCATAGTTAGCCAACAGAGAGCTCCCAGTAACTGTCCAATTTTCTGTTCCTGCAATTGGCAATTCATTTCACATGTTCTTAGGGCTCTGAAAAAACAGAATTAGCTTACCTTAAAGGGAAGAGTCTTGTAAAGGTATAGCATACCACTTTCAAGTATTGAAATTTCTTCCCATTATATCCTCTGAATTAACTTTCCCATTTTTTCACACAGCAACTAATTACAGATTCAATTGGGATCACAAGTAGCTTTTTTTTTTTAAGATTTTATTTATTTATTTGACAGAGAGAGAGAGCACACAAGCAGGGGGAGCAGCAGAGGGAGGAGGAGAAGCAGGTTCCTTTGCCGAGCAGGAAGCCCGATGCAGGGCTTGATCCCAGGACCCTGGGATCGTGATCTGAGCTGAAGGCAGTTGCTTAACCAACTGAGCCACCCAGGCGCCCCCAAGTAGCATTTTAATATTAACATATTTGGGGAAAAAGCTTATCAGGCATTTACTCATTATTAAAACAGAAATAACACCCACTGAGAATCACTGTTGTACACTTGAAACTAATGTAACATTGTATATCAACTATATTTCAATAAAAACAAAAAACACCTAACTCGAATTAGTTCATATTATTACTAGTATAAACAATCCTAACCCCTGCACTGAGAAAACAGGAATTTTGATTGAATTGGGGGTGGAGGAAAATGATCTCTAACTTGGAGGTGCGATGACATTTTGTGCAAGGGGTAAGGGAGGCTTGAAAAGGATTCTGAGTACAATTAAGCCCACCAGGTACCTCGGGGCCTGAAGAAAAGCGCCCTAAGATAATGGAGGGGGGAGGGGGAGATCAATTTGTAGGTAAGATAAACTCAAGCTTCCACTTCAAAACTCTAAGTCTCATCTTAACCCATAGAGAAAGGAAACTATATCCTTCTAACCTGCTCTCTGGACACAGAATTAAAGTTAACTATCATCAGTACTAGTTTTTAGGTAACTGTGATTTAAACACTCTTTGAGGGCTAGTGTAGGAACTATATAATACTGTAACACTATGATATGAAGTGGCTGAATTCCAAATAAAACTGAGTTAAAAATACATGCCCACAGGGGGACCTGGGTGGCTCAGTTGGTTGGGCGTTTGACTCTTGATTTCAGCTCAGGTTGTGATCTCGGGTTCCTGGGACAGAGCCCCATTCAGGCTCCACGCTCAGTGTGGGGTCTGCTTGGGATGCTCTCTCTCCCTCTGCCCCTCCCCATGCTTGCACTCACTCTAAAATAAATGAATAAAATATTATTTATTTTTTTTTAAAGATTTTATTTATTTGACAGACAGACACGGCGAGAGAGGGAACACAAGCAGGGGGAGTGGGAGAGGGAGAAACAGGCTTCCCGCTGAGCAGTGAGCCCGATGCGGGGCTCGATCCCAGGACCCTGGAATCGTGACCTGAGCTGAAGGCAGATGCTTAACGACTGAGCCACCCAGGCGCCCCTGAATAAAATCTTTAAAAAAAAATTACATGCTCACTATGACTGCCTACATATAGCCTAACAATTCAAGCAGCCCTCATGTTTAGTCCAAGTCTTTCTTCAAACATCATTTACTCCATGTGACTTACCTGACCAACCTATTTAAAACTGCAATTCATTCTCCTCTCCACTTTTCCGAACATACTTATAAATAAACATACATTTGATGTATTATGTTCGTGATCAACCACCACTAGAAAGTAAACTCACAAATGCAGAAATCTTTTCTGCTCTGTTTACTGAGAAACCGCAAATTCTGTGGACAGCTTCCTCTCGGGTAGTGACCCTGAAAGAAAGGCCTGAAGATGGCAGAAAGAAGTAACTTTTCCAGAAGATTAAAAAAAATTAAATGGATATATAGAGTCGGTATATGGCTCCTTCTCCCCAAGCACAAGGCAATGACTAGACCTTTCCTCCCTTTCTCCTTTCATAAATCAAGAGTATTTATGAAAGCTGGTATGTTACTTTTGAATAGGCCAACATTTATGGATGGTGTTGTATTCTTTTTTTTTTTTTAGATTTTATTTCTTATCTGGGAGAGAGAGCACAAGCAGAGGGAGGTGCAGATGAAGAAGCAGGCTCCTCGCTTAACAGGGAGCCCGATGCGGGGCTCAATCCCAGGACCCAGAGATCATAACCTAAAGCAAAGGCAGATGCTTAAACAACTGAGCCACCCAGGCTCCCCAGATGGTATTGTATTCTTACATGATAAAGCACTCCTTGTATAGTCAAAAGCACACAACTCAATTCTGCTCGTTTAATAGGATGTTTATAAAGGAGGTGGCAACAGAACCAAGTCTGAAGACCTGAATTTTGATCCATTCATCCATTATTCATTAAATATTTACCATGTATCAAATGAATATGACCAAGATAGTTTGTTTCCTCTTAAGAAGCTCCTAAGTTGCAGGCATCTTAGTTGTAAAAATTAATTGTAATATCTTTTGATAAGTATATTTTAAGATATCTTTAACCAAATACAGTGTTGGTATAAGGGAGGGTGTAAAGACTAGGGAGAAATATGATCTGACTTTTTTTCAGAAATTTCACTCTGGCAGGAACGTGGAGGATGAACTGGACCCAGTAAGCTTGGAGACACCACCACAGCAATCGTCTAAGTGACAGACAAGTCCACCTTTAATTAAGATAAGGGCGGTGGGGGGGGGGGTCGATATGCAGGAGGGGACAGACCGGGTGACAGGGTGGATGGTACAATTCTTCAAGTTTACGCTTGGATGCTATATACTTCCCATGCATTCAATTAAACCTGATAAGGACACTGAGGACTAATATCACCATTCAAATTTTTAAATAAGGATTTAAGATTTAGAGAGGTTAGGGAACTTGTTCAGGCACTTTCAGCTAGGTATTGGGAGAGTTGTGATTCAAACTCAAATGCCTGATTTTAACACATGAACTCTAGGCTATAGCATGATTTGGCCTAAACCAAGAATTTAATTGCAATATACTGGGCTTGACCTGCCAAGAACACACAAGACAGCTAGAGAGACTGGAGGCAAAAAAGCATAGGGTGCTGCCCATGAGGTTAAGGTCAAGGGTATGCAAATGGAAGGGATAGTCAATAGTATGCATACCTCAGCAAAGTCATTAATACAGACTTAAAATGTCCATTGACTCTGGCAATTTGGGAAGTGCCTAATGACCTGGCAAGTCTATTTCATTAAGTAGCACAAAGAGAAGCTATATGTCAAGGGATTAAGGAATAAATAAAAGGTGGAGACGTGGAGATAATGTATATAGTTTTCTTTTGAAAAATATTGCTGTCAACACAAAAACAGACACATAGGTCAATGGAACAGAACAGAGAATCCAGAAATGGACTCGACTCTATGGTCAATTAATCTTTGACAAAGCAGGAAAGAATATCCAATGGAAAAAGGACAGTCTCTTCAATAAATGGTATTGGAAAAATTGGACAGCCACATGCAGAAGAATGAAACTGGACCATTTCCTTACACCACACACAAAAATAGACTCAAAATGGATGAAAGGCCTAAATGTGAGACAGGAATCCATCAAAATCCTAGAGGAGAACACAGGGAGCAATCTCTTTGACCTTGGCCTCTTTGGCTTCCTGCTAGACACATCCCCAGAGGCAAGGGAAACAAAGCAAAAATGTATTGGGACTTCATCAAGATAAGCTTTTTTTGGTTTGTTTTGTTTTTTCAGCATGGTTATTTCATATTTTATTGGACTGATGTACATCACCATTCCTGTGATAAAGCTAACCTAGGGCTAAGAATGTCAAATAGGAAAAGGGGAAAAACCATCCACAAATTTGATTAAACTATTAATATTAAGGTATGTAAATCCTTGGGTTGGAATCGAGAGAAAAAAAAAAACTGTTCAGAGCTTTGGTTTCTAACAAGAATCTCCCAAAGGCTCTACTAATACAAGGTCAGTTCATGGAAAAACTCTTGAATTGCACAAAACCCCATTAGGCAGGAGAAATGCGCAGGATAGAAGGACGTGGGTTCTGGGGGCAGCCAGTCTGCAGCAAGGACAGCTGGGCTGGAGGCCGCCGCTCACGCCCACGACCTGGAGGTAGGAGGCTAGAAGTCTAGAGGCAGAGTTTAGTGCATTCACCCAAAGTCCTTGCTTCCCAGTCAGTCTCTAGGGTGCTGATGATTTTCTCAGACATGGAAAAAGCTTTTTTTTTTTTTTTAAAGATTTTATTTATTTGACACAGAGAGAGAGAGAGGAAGCACAACCAGGGGGAGCAGCAGAGGGAGAAGGAGAAGCAGGCTCTCTGCTGGTCAGGGAGCCGGATGCAAGGCTCGATCCCAGGACCCTGGGATCATGACCTGACCATGACCAAAGGCAGATGTTTAACTGACTGAGCCACCCAGGCACCCCAAGATAAAAAGCTTTTGCACAGCAAAGGAAACAGTTGACAAAACTAAAAGGCAACCTATAGAGTGGGAGAAGATATATGCAAATTTTTTATCAGATAAAGGGCTAGTATCCAAGATCTATAAAGAACTTATCAAACTCAACACCCAAAAAACAAATAATTCAGTAAGAAATGGGCAGAAGACATGAACAGACTTTTCTCCACAGAAAATGGCCAAGAGACACATGAAAAAATGCTCCACATCACTTTGCATCAGGGAAATACAAATCAAAACCACAATGGAGTGTATCAGTCAGCCATCAAAAAGAATGAAATCTTGCCATTTGCAGCAACATGGATAGAACTAGAGGGTATTATGCTAATTCAATAAGTCAGAGAAAGACAAATACCACATGATTTCACTCATACATGGAATTTAAGAAACAAAAAGGGAAGGGAAGGAAAAATAAGATAAAAACAGAAAGGGAGGCAAACCATAAGAAACTCTTAACTCTAGGGAACAATCTTGAGGGTTGTTGGAGGGAAGGTGGGTGGGGGATGGGGTAATAGCATGATGGGCATGAAGGAGGGCACCTGATGTAATGAGCACTGGGTGTTCTATGCAACTGATGATTCCCTGAAACCAATAAAACACTACATGATAACTAACTTGAATTTAAATTAAAAACAACAACAACAACAACAAAAAACAAGGCCGTCAAGAGAGATAAATATCTAGTGAAGGAAGAAGGGTTCAAAGGAGGCTTCTTTTTTATTTTTTCAAGTATGGGACAGACCTGAATATGCAGGAGTGAAACACACCAAGAAAGAGGATGAAGACGCAGGGAGTCAAAACCTAGGGCACCTAGGTGGCTCAGTCAGGTAAGCATCAGACCTGGGCTCAGGTCTTGAGGTCGCCCCGGTCCAGCCCCACCTTTGGGGCTTAAAAAAACAAAACAAAACAAAAAACCCAGGGAGTCAAACCTAACTAATGAAGCATGAAGAGGTTGGGGCTCTCAGGGTTGGAAGGATTAGCTTTTGAAAGTGGGTTTTCGCATCTGACAATCCTTGGTTTTCTCCCTAGAGCTGAAGGCAGAAGAAAGAAAGCAGGGGTGGATTTGGGGCTTGAAGAAGTCTGATTCAGCATTTGTGGGTATGGAAAGGAGAGGATGCTGCTGAATAATGCCTCATGAAAGGAATGCTCTGTACAAGCAGGGACTGTGAGTGTCACCTCAGAAATCTTAAGGGTCACACCCACAGCAGGGAGACTGGAGGTGAATTTCTGCGGAGAAAATTTTCTGTTGTCAATTAAGTCCAGGCTCGCCACTGATAGTTGTGTAACTTCTTGGGTCTCCTCAAAGATCTGCCAAAGACCAGGCACTGCCAAAGACCACGCGGTGTGGAGAGGCCAACCGCGGAGAACCTGGCGCCACACTAGCCTAGCTGATCCGAACCTGTCTTGGCAAAAAGCCAGGTGACCGTCTATGTTTGTGAGCAACTCTGCCACCGTGGCAGTTTTAACGACATTCTCCCGGGTCCCAAAGCGCTGGAAACAACTTCTAGAACCCAGCTTCCCAGACGTGGGCGTAGCCAGGCAGGTAACCCAAACCGCTGGGCGTGAGAGAAGGCAGCCTCCCCAGCCAGTTTCCCCTGCCCACTGGTCCTTCTTTCCCGCTCCTTCCCTCACGAGGTGGATCTCAAAGGACGAGAAGCCAGTGCCTCCGGGATGACCCAGCGCCAGGCGCGGTGTCGATGGACTCGGCAGTGGGAAAGTCGGGGGTGGGAGGACACCAAGGGGACAGGAAAGCGCGCGATACGGGTTGGGCGCGCTGACCCTGCCCAGAGGACGACCGCGGTAGTCGAGACGTTACCTCCAACATGCCTTTTCTACTCGCCCCGGCCGTGTCGATGAGCGTGTTGTCCAGATCGAAGAAAACCGCCCGCACCCGATTCAGCACCATCCCGCCAGTCGCGCTCACACCGCGCCAACTCGCTGCTGCCACCGCCGCCCGCGCATGCGTGAAGCCGGCCCGCGGTCAAGGAAGACGTGGGCGGGGCCGTGAGGTCACCTGACCATTCAGTGCTGCCCGCGGGACTCCCGCGAGAGGTCTCAATATTGGAGCGTCTGAGGAAATGCCGCGAGACTCCGGGATCGTGGTCTAACCCGTGCAATCAAGGAACGCTTTCGTCAGTGGGCGAGTGGTTATCTAACAGCTTGAATGTGGAGGGTGATTAGTAGCGCTGTTTTTCTTCGTAGTCTCTTTCTGCTTATCTCTTTTTTTCGTGTTGTCCTCCTGGCATGAGGTGAATGTCATAAGTACCCGGGGGAGGTTTTCAGCGCCATTTGGCGCCTGGGAAGGAGGCCGAGAATCAGTTGGCTTTTCCGGTTAGGCTATGGGTTGTTGCATGGGGAGCTGCCCCCTGTCCGAAGCGTCGCTGGTCTTTTGCGTTTCCTAAGTTGGGGTGTGAGTGCATGTGTCTAGTGTCCGGAGTCTGCGGTTACTGGAGAAGTCATGTCGGTGGCAGGAATGCCAGTGGGGTGCAAAGGTGTGATATTTACCCTACTAGATAGAGTAGCCGTGTTAGAACTGGAGCCTGATTCCTTAAGACCCCTGTGTCAGGGCTGTGCTTGGAAAGACCCGGGACTCTGTAGGGTCTGCTGATGTTTTGTCCACTTAGATTGCTTTTCCTGAAGACTTGCATTTCCAGGTTTTTGGATGCCTCATAAGTGGTTTTCAGGTGTAGCAAGGAGCTGAGGGACCGAAACAGTCTGTTGATCCCCAGAAGGTCAATAACAACTGCTTTCTACTCCTAGAAAGGACAAAGATGTTGAAATTAATTTCTGAGCTTCTAAATTGTCTCTATTGGGTAACTTTACTGGAATTTAGATATGTGGTCTTCATCATTGACCAGAAATTTTCTAGCTGCAGACCAAATTGCCACCAGAATTTTGTTGGATCTGTGATCAAAGAGTGGTTTACATTTTTAAAGTGATTGGAAGAAATCATCAGGGAAATACAGATCAAACCAACGAGTTACCACCTCACACCAGTCAGAATGGCTCATATTAACAAGTCAGGGAACAACAAATGTTGGCAAGAATGACGAGAAAGGGGAGCCTTCTTACATTGTTGGTAGGAATGCAAACTGCTGCAGCCAATCTGGAAGACAGAATGGAGGTTCCTCAAAAAAGTTGAAAATAGGATTACCCTATGACCCAGCAATTGCACTAGTAGGTATTTATCCAAAGGATACAAACATAGTGATTTGAAGGGGCACCTGCACCCCAATGTTTATAGCAGCAATGTCCACAATAGCCAAAATATGGAAAGAGCTCAGATGTCCATCAACAGATGAGTGGATCAAGGAGATGTGGTATGTATGTATAATGGAGTGTTACTGAGCCGTCAAAAATAGAATCTTGCCATTTGCAATGATGTGGATGGAACTAGAGGGTATTAGGCTAGTCGAATAAGTAAGAGAAAGACAAATACCATATGATTTCACTCATGTGGAATTTAAGAAACAAAACAGATGAATATAGAGGAAGGGAAGGAAAAATAAGATAAAAACAGAGAGGGGGGCAAACCATAAGAGCCTCTTACTCTTAACTCTAGAGAACAAACTGAGGGTTACTTGGAGGGGAGGTGAGCGGAGGAAGGTGTAATTGGGTAAAGGGCATGAAAGAAGCACTTGATGTAATGAGCACTGGGTGTTATATGCAACTGATGAATCACTAAATTCTACCCCTGAAACTAATAATACAGATTATGTTAACTAAATTGAATTTAAATAAAGAATTCTTTTAAAAAGATTTTGTTTGACAGAGAAAGAGAGCATAAGCAGAGGAAGTAGCAGGCAGAGGGAGAGCAGGCTCCCCGCCAAGCAGAGAGCCAACGTGGGGCTCAGCACCAGGCCCAGGGATCATGACCTGAGCCAAAGGCAGATGCCCAGCTGGCTTAAGCCACCCAGGCACCACTAAATAATTTTTTTTAAAACAAGGGGAAAAAAAGTGATTGAAAGCAATCAAAAGATGAGTTCATGACATGTGAGAATTATATGAAATGCAAACTTTAGTGTCCATAAATATATATTTTTAAGTAGGTTCCATACCCAGTGTGGAACCCAAAGCAGGGACTTGAACTCCTGACCCTGAGATCAAGACCTGAGCTGATATTGAGTCAGAGGGCTAACTGAGCCACTCAGGTGCCCCCATAAATAGTTTTATTGGGACACAACCACACTCATTCAGTTGTATATCATCTTGCTGCTTTTGCCCTACAAGCAAAGTTGAGTAATTATATGTGAAACCATATGGCCTGCACAGCCTAAGATATTTACTCTCTGGCTCTTTACAAAATTTGCCCACTCCTGAGGTACATGAGTAACAGTTGGGCTGCTGGCATTCAGTAGACTTAGATCAGTTGTCTTATCTTTATGTTAATACTTTTTTTCTTCTGCAGTGGCAGACTACAATTTCTGTATGTTTAGCAGCAGAATTTTACAGTTAACCTCTCTTTGCTACTGTGGCAAATAAAGATAATTTTATTTATTCCTCAAAAACATGACTCTGGTTGCTCTGTTGATGTGCAGGGCCAGCCTACCAATTTTGGTCATTTAGATCACCAATCAGCTAAAATTATGAAAGCATTAATTGGAGTTAACCTTTTTTAGTTGCCTGAGATGTCAGAATAATTAAGCCTAAAACTGCTTATGGGGTGGGGTGCCTGGGTAGCTCAGCTGGTTAAGCGTCTGCCTTCCACTCAGGTCATAATCCCAGAGTCCTGGGATCAAACCCTGAATTGGGCTCCCTGCTTAGTGAGGAGTCTTCTTCTCCCTCTGCCCTCCTCCCACTCGTGTGTGCTCTCTCTCTCAAATAAATAAAATCTTAAAAAAAAAAAACTGCTTATGGGTAATGAAGCCTAGAGGATTGAAGCTGTTCCCCCCACTCCACCCCCTGATGTGTATATAGAGTTTATTGACAGTCACAAATCCAAATCCAAACTCAGAGGAGGTATGGTAGTCTGTATAATCCTCTTAATGGGTTGAGGCACTTGACAGGTTCCTCTTCCTGACAAGTAGTCTGAAGGCATTCCATGACCTGTCCAACTTTACTACTTAAAGAGAGGTGATGGCCAGAAACCGTATATCCTGACAACTTTAATTCCTTCTAATTATAGAATCAGGGTTTAGGATGTTGCAGTTAAAATTTGTGAACTAGTTCTCCTGTAGCGTTTTAAGATAGATGTACAGGCACTACATAGGTGGGCCTCAGGTACAATATTTAAAGTTGGTTAGCTTGACAGATTTAACTCTAGTAGCTAGAAGAGGTTTTCATATTTGCAGAATGCAAGGTCTAAGTAAAAAATTGGTAATTGTGAGACTTGATGTGGTAACAAATAAAGTGGAAACTAAACTAACATTGCTTTTGCATTCTGCACTGTGTGTAATGGCATCATTGTGCCATTGCTCCTGCCCAGCATTGATCCTGGCCTTTCTTACCCTCAGGAAGCTGTCAGGCTTTTTCCACCCACTTCCCATGTACAAGTTCATTATAACTCCATGATTTCAGAGGAGAGGTTTGCCTTCTGGCTTAAAGTTTGTTTGTTTGTTTGTTTGTTTTCAGAATGGGGCATTGCTATGTCAATAGGAATAAAACCGAAGCAACTGGAAGAGAATCACAGGTTCCCACAATATCTACCCAGCTATCATCAGTTGTATCCATCCACACTGCCTTTTATCCTTAAATGAGCCATCTCTATTGCCTTCCGTGGCTAGCCTTTTCAGTTCCCTATATCCCCAGCCCAGCTTGGGGAAATCTTTTCAGCAGTTTTTTCCTCTTGTGCATCATCAAAAGTTTCCCATCTATTGAATCCACTCCAGTTAGCCTTTCAATCACAGTATTGCACTGAAACTACTATTGCCAAGTCACCAATGACCTTCACTTTACTAAATCTAATAGCCATTCTTTGCCCTCATAGTAACTGCCCTATCAGCAGAGGGCACGTTCCAGTTGGTAACAGTTCACCAACAGTGCTATCAGAGTATCAGAATATGGATAGTTATTATCCAGGTGCATGCCCTCACTTGCATGCTCTCTCTACACACACACATGCTCCTCCAAGGGTTTATATATATTTGGAATTCCACAGTCCTGCACTTCCTATGCTAGGTCATTCAGGAGACAGTGACAGAAGTGTAAGAAAGTATCTGTCTTTGTCATAGTAAATACAGAATTGTTGTCTTAAAGCTTGGAGTTGCAGTACTGCAACTGCTATTTATTCTTTGGATTGATTCTTTAGGTTGATTTTATTGATTCTTTTGTTAATTTCAATTCTGTATATTTTCTTAATAATTGAAATTGATTATTTAAGGATACATTATCTCTTTAACCTGTGTTATCTTTTACTAGACTTTCCTCTTATTTTGTTACTGTTGGTTGGTTGAATCTAAGTCAAACACTTTTTGTCTGATTGTGAAAAACAGAATTTGAACTCTTTTACCTCTGTGGTCAAAATCCTGTGTGGAGCAAAATGCTGTGTGTCCCAGAGACCAGCAAGATTTGTCGTTCCTCACTTTGAAACACTGATACCCTTGATAAGAGAGGAGGTTCCACTGCCTGTGATAAGCCAGGGCCTGCATTTCTGCAGCCTCATGCCCTTCCTTCCCTCAGCCCATCAGGTGTCCTGGCCTTGTCCTTCAGAGGTCTCCATGTGCTGCACACAGCTCCTTCTGGTGAGCAGTTTGTATTAGCCTCTTGAGTACAGTGCCTGTCCTAGGATCCCAGATTCTGTTTCCCTACTAGGAGGAAGTAGCAACTTTTTTGCAGTTACAATTACAGTAGTTTCCTCTTATCCATGAGATATGTTCCAAGACCTCCAGTGGATGCCTGAAACTGTGGACAGTACTGAACCATATATATATAATATGTTTTTTCCTATACATGTATATCAATGATAAAATTTATAAATTAGGCACAGTAAGAGATTAACAATAGCTAATAC